TACATATTTTGACTTAGTAGGGATTGAAGATAGTCTATCTTGTTAATTAATGATCGGCAGTTAGAATTGAGCGATTCGGGAATCGACATACGATTAATGTTCATTCTCTTCAACGCATATTGCTAACCACCGCGATGTCTTTTATTGTAGGTTTTTGTAACTTGTGCAGCGAAAGGTCGTAGGCTTTTCATAAACGCGCCTGTATAGGTTATGCGATTAATGGACATAATGAGAGGTTGAAACAAAATGAAAAAGCAGATAACTTGTTGAAATAACTAGATGGCAGAAACAGGTAGCCCAGATATTCAAGCAGATATCTAATCAAAATATAACACGATTCTTCTTTTTTTAGATATTTCCCTAGGGTGTCTGTTAGATGCTGAATGGGTTAAACGTTTCCACTCCTTTTCCGGTTCTCTAATGTTATTTTTCGAGCGTTATTTACGAACTCCCATTGAAGTGAACGAAAACGCGGGGGAGGGGACAATGGAATGTATTTAATAACAAATTGCAGAACTGGTTGATAAAAAAGAAAAACCATATAGTAGTTTATTAATTTGCAAAATATTAATCCATCATATCAAACTGAACTGTTCCTGTTCCAAACATCAATTGATTGTCTGACATTTTATTGTTCATGCGTTTTCATACAAATTCCATCGTGTTTTCGCTCTTCCTTTTTTGATCTTCCCCCATTTTCTGCTGCCAGACATTAAGTTTTTAACTGGCGTCACATACTACTTATATCAATATAAGTAGCGCGCACCACACTCGTCCTTACTTTAAAGCAGTCGTCCTTACGGTGGTTCATGCTCGCCGTTCAACATTCTTTTTTTCTGCAGTCTCTGCTACGCCCTCCGTCAAAATATCGAGTCTGCGGCGCGCTGACCTCTATAGCTCCATCGACCTGACGGGTCACCAACATCCGACCTCCAACCGGCACCTGGGACGTTTGACACCCGTGCTCCACTGGCCTGCTGAGCCATCTACACCCGATGTCCGCCCAGCAGCCGCATGTCCCACCGCTCCTCTCCGTCGACGGCACCTGCTACAGCCAACGCCGCCCCGCCAGAACACTCCACCAGACGCCACCTCTCCGCATCAGACCGTTAGTTTTATTTACATCAGTATGAACTATGACATGTGCGACACAGTTGCTCACAGTGAAATGCCAATCAATGTCAAACTTTGTAGTGTCAGTTACTATGTTAAGCCCATATGCCTTAGTCAGGCTTTCGGACAAACCAATCTATTCATTTTACTTGAGTCACATTCTGACCTTGTAAATTATTCGCTTATCAATCTTGACTGTTTTTATATGAGCTCATATGTGTGTGTACACTTATCTCATCACTCATTACATGTCCGTAACTTATTTTTGTGTGACTATAAATATTGATTAACGTTTGGTTAAATGGGAGTTGGTTTACCCGCCATCTCCACTGCGCGTCGTTTTTCTTCTCTGTGTTCCATTCGCTTCATATACAAAATATATGTATCCAAAAGTCCATCCTCGTTATTTGACTTATTTAATTCCGTTATTCACTGAACGCGGATTAAGTCGACGATAGACGACACATACAGTTCAATAAAAATCATTCCTGCGATTTACTTGGAGTCAGAACTCGGGTCACTAAAGTAGAGAGCCCGTCAACAAACATCGTCCGGTCTAATTGACATCTAAATGAAGGGCCCCACTAAAACCTAACTAACAGTTGTTTAATGATACTCCCCGGTTATCACTTTAGCAAAGTACAACAAGCAAATAATATCATTTGTATTTCGACTGAGTATTTCATACGTACCTCTTTCATGCAACCAATATTTGTTATGACTAAAAGTTTGCTTGTATTCGTAAAATGTTACACCGCTGGTTTTACACCAAGTAAATTCTCAACCCCTAATATAGCAGAATGGTTTAGATCGAATATGTTATCATCAACCCACAAAATAGTTAAGTTTCCATTACTCCAGGTAATACTATTTTCTTTAGAGAATCAAAATAATCACGCCTCATTTGATTAATGAAAAACTATAAAGATTGGTCTAGCTGACTCGAATTTCACTTGAAAATTCTGATCTAAAAACTAGTGGTTCAAATATCAATAAATCGTGAATCTTCATCGTTTCGAGATCCGTGTCTATGATATTATTCTGACAGTGTGAAGACATTTAACGCATAAACTATTTTTATTTCGATAGAAGCTGTAAAATGCATTTTTTACAAGCGTGAACTCTAAGCTTCGTAGTTTGTGAGCAGTACTGCTTGACGGGAAACGTTTATATCAATTTGAAAATGTCATGATACAGATGTACAATAATGTACAAAGAGTTTATCTTTTTGTACATATCAGGCATTGATTGAATTCATGAACCGAACAATGTTAGATCACTGTCGAAAACTGATGAGGAGTCGCATGCTAGGATGAAACGACCGTTCAGTGCTTCCAGGTTCCCAGTGGTGGTCTAACATTGATCGGTTCATCAGCTCAATTAAAAGTGAGAAATCTTTACGCCATCTTGGTTATTCCTTGTTCACATTTCCTCATGGAACAAAATAAATTTCATTTATATACGATTGCACAGTTTGATAATAAATTCGTTGGAAGAAGATCTCTTTGCTGAAATTCGTGTTTTTAATGTTTATATGGGGTGGTGGTCTAGCTTCAACTGACTCATGATCTTGACCATTGAAATTACTACAATTTCCACAAAACCCCTTCTGATTCTGATAATAAATGGGGATTATCTGTCAATCTCTATAAGCCTATACTGATAATGATCATATACCCACTAGTAACTAGCTTCGAGAGTTGGTTATCGGAGCACTAGTAATAAGCCGTGATCAGTGGAGCTCAACAATGCCAGTTGTGTGGCAGTTACCCACCGAAAAACAATGGAAGATGGCCGAACAATATCGTGGATTGATTGAAGTTAGACATTAACACCGTAGGATGCCGGTTCATTAGTCTAGAAGTTAACCATTTGCGAGCAAGTATATCAGTATACACATACTTGTCGAACAATATAGTACATCCAAACTCGACGATGAATAATTGTATTTTTTATGCCCCTTAACAAATTAAACATGGTGGATCTGATGCAGATGTGAAGGCACGGATTGGCAAAGCAAGAGCAGCATATTTACAATTGAAGAATATCTGGAACTCAAAACAATTAGCAACCAACACCAAAGTCAGAAATTTCAATACAAATGTCAAGACAGTTCTACTGTATGGAGCGGAAACCTGGAGAACTACGAAATCCATCGTCCAAAAGATACAGGTGTTTATTAACAGTTGTCTACGCAAAATACTTCGGATCCGTTGGCCGGACACTATTAGCAACAACCTACTGTGGGAGAGAACAAATCAGATCCCAGTGGAGGAAGAAATCAGGAAGAAGCGCTGGAAGTGGATAGGACACACATTGAGGAAAACACCGAACTGCGTCACAAGACAAGCCCTCATATGGAATCCTCAAGGTCGAAGGAAGAGAGGAAGACCAAAGAATACATTACGCCGAGAAATGGAGATAGATATGAGAAAAATGAACAAGAATTGGATGGAACTTGAAAAGAAGGCCCAGGACAGAGTGGGTTGGAGAATGCTGGTGGGCGGCCTATGCTCCATTGGGAGTAACAGGCGTAAGTAAGTAAGTAAGTAAGTAAGTAAGTAAGTAAGTAAGTAAGTAAGTAAACAAATTAAACAAAAATTATAACTTCAGTTGAACTGATAAGTAAGTGATGTAAAAATTTATTGGAAAGACTATATCTCCTGGTTTCTTGTAGCACATGGTAAACGTATATAGAAGTATATGAAACAGACACCAGCTCGCAATAAATATAGTCATCCAAGACTCAGTGCTAACTAAATTCACGATTGACCAGCGAGTATAAGTTTATTTCTGATAAATGATAGCAATTTGCAGGTGATTTTGTGAAGTCTGTCCTTTAGGATATTATGTGACTTGTGAATAGTTTAGTTGTGTAATTTATAGTTTTGGATGCTGAAGGGATGAATCTTCAAAGTGACCACGTCTAACGTAATTGATATTTACGTGTTTTTCTGATGACTGTAGTCACGTAAAAAACATAAATAGATGGTCACCTCCTTGTGGACGTCTAACAATACTATAATTGATTCATTCCACTTTCTTAATTAACAGATTCTTAACAGTGTTCTCAATAGTTCATACTATTCAGTTTTGTCAACATAAATACACATAATACTTCCTGGTTTCACCAAGTCCCACTCTTTGATCGATTTTGAGGCTACATGTGATTCAAATACGATTTTAAACCTTTTGATATCTTTATTCATACAGAGCAACTGAAAATGCATAAATATAGTTGTTTCAGAAATATCTTGCATGAAGTTAAATGCAAATACTAATTTTTATCGGCTACAGAAACAGATTGATAAAAACCATTTTACAAACAGGGATGTTAGATTATTTACGTCACCTTAACTAATTGAACACTATAAATAAACAATCGAGCACTACTTCGTTTATCACGTTTATCATTTTACACACGAACTTTTGTTGAAAGCGATGAATGAAATTACAAATCGTGACTACACTAAAACATGAAGCTTCTGTTGCTATCCGCCTCACATACCATTAACTAGGTTGTGAGACCATTTAATTCACCAGAAATACTAGATCTTGTGACAATCTACACTGTAAATGTCCGATCAATCTCCATTTACACCACATCACATTCACTACCACGTTAAGTACTTCCTTCAAAATTTACGCTACAGACAATCAGAGACCTACAACAACTACACCATGATAACCAGTCATTGGTGTACAGTTAACATTGTCAATTAACTCAACTGAACATCCTCGATCGGAGTATCAGTCAGTGATGAACACGAGAAAGATTGACTGGATGAATTTCATCCTATATATATATATATATAATTAACGAAGAAACGTACTCATTGACCAATTTGATACAAAAGTATTTATCACAAAAAGTTTGCAAATTAACATTATTTAAGATATTTTTCTTGTAACGTGCGATATGTTCCAATGTGATGATCGCATTCAGGACATTTGTGATCAACATCTTTACATGCTTTTACACAAAATGGAATGAAACAACAGCCACAGAAGCACCTTAAATACACAAAATGAACATTCAAAATGAAAGATCATCAATTTAACTATTAATTGAATGCTAACTGAACATGTTAATTTGAAAACTATTCACTTCGTAAACTGGTGTAATTTGCTTGGAGAAAATCATTAATAAACCATTTGAGCAGTGAATATTTGTTTCTTCTTAGTCTGATCTTATTATTATTATAGCATGTTGAAATTCTATGTTACATTTTCTTTTAATACAATACCAATAAACTAAATTATGTTTTCATTTCATTATCAGTATGAAATTTAACAGTAACTAATCTTATTAAATGTTCATTCAACTTGTAGTCAAGTTTAAACAGAATAATTTATCATTCTATAGCTTAGTGATTAGAAATTATTTTTAAGTTGATAGCGATTAGCTTTTGAACTATTAATGACCAATTATTTTCACAGTTAAATTCATCCATTGTTATCATAATATTAACATTTATCATCTCAATACAAACAGAATTTTGATTTGAGCATTTATACAATTAAGAGTGAAGATTTTTTTCCAAACTTTCATAAATTAAACTATATTACCATAATCTTTTCTATAGGTAACAATATCAAGGTTGAACTAGATTGTTTCAATAATAAATATTTTTTGTTATATCCCAATGAGTAGAAAAATTGTATTTCTGACGTTTCGTGACTTAATGCAAGTCACTTCTTCAGAGTAAATAAATAACCGAATTAAATTAACACAAGTTTAAATAGCACAAATGAAACAAAGTAGTATATATATATGTATATATATGTATATACATACAAAACTTAACCATATTGAACACAGAAATTATGAATGAATTGTACACTTTTATTTACTAACAGTTAATATTGAGATCTCAATCGTATTTTTAGCCTAACTTTGAATTCATTAGACTCTGAAGTTCTCACTGAGAATTTAACTAACTATCTATTTAGTTTTAGAAATTCGATGCACTATTTGATAGGCTATTAAATTATGACACGCATACCTTGGGGAATAAATTCTTCCTTTACTCACTACTCAATAGTAGTATAATATTTTGAAAATCAATATCAAAATAGAAGTATCCTGAAAAGGTTTCAATATATTAATCAAAACAAAATGATCTGGAAATTAATACAAATTTCAAAGATTTAAATACGTATACTTAAATGATGATTATAATCAATTTATCAATCTTGGATGAATGTTACTATTAATGATTAACATTGAACATCCTAAATCTCAATTTACAGTTGCTAAATTATTCCACTATCCAATTTCTCTGAAATCTACTCTATCATCAATACTAATTTTCATAGCATTATGCACGCCATATTACTTAAACTTATGTCGAATATAAATGATTGAAGTGAGGTGAATTATTCGTTTGGAGGTTTACTGTTAACTATCAATGATCTTGGGTAATTATATAATACTTAGATGATTGTCAAAAATGGTAAGAGATCTAATTTATAAATTATAAACTAGTAACAACTTTGGAATATTGTTGTAACATGGCATTGTTAACTGACTTTGAGTGACATACTGTCAATTTTAAAAGCAATTACTATTAAAAGTTATTTGAATTTTGATTCGTATAAAGCAAAACATAACACAATATATTACTTATGCCTATTTAATGACTTGACCAATTGGATTATACTCAGACAGTCAAGTAGTGTATGAATAAACTCATCAGAACATTTGACGCTTAGGCTAGCACAACAACACCTACACGACACATACATTTTCATATTGATATATTTTAGCATTATTATACATTAAACTTTGTATTGATCGCGATTTAAGTTTTAGACTTAAATGTTCAATGAAACATACAATAATAGGGAATTATTAACCATTTTGAAGTTATCGCTGGTTAATATTCATTTTCAAAATAATAAACATTTTGTTTATATTAAGAAATAAAATCTTTTTAAAACAAGTAAATGTCAAATCAAACACTGTTGTTAACTTACCCAACTATGCATAAACCTGTACAGGCTGCATAAGTTAGCATACCATTACGATATTTAATTTTCGTTACAATTTCTTGATGACAGTTGGGACATTTCAAAGTTGTTGGATGGTCTTGTAAAGGAATTATAGTTACTGGTTGACTTGTTACTACTGGTGTTTCTTTATTCTGGTCAGTTTTGTCTGATAACACTAGGATAAGATAAATATCAGTAAAACAATTTTGTTAATAGTCACAATAAAGAGTAAATATAATTAGCGGACTATTATTATTGAACGAAGTGTTAAATATTTTACTTTATACCAAGTGGCTGGTAGCAAACGATAGGAAACGCCAATCTTAGCTTTCTTGTTAGTCAGCACACTTAAACTTGTCTCTATAGACTTAAGAGGACTAATAAATACCCCAATGTTATTATCAAACATATTACCACTAAACTATTGTACAACTTTCCAACTTCAATCAGTTTGCTGTGATATAGCAGAAAATACGTAACTTCTGTTATCTCAATTATGATATCATAGAAATTCTGTTATACAATATAAGATGAACGGCGGAACATTTTGCAAATTACTTAATATTGTTTTCTTTGTAGTGATTATTCATTTTACAAACATTCAGTCAAAACAATAAATAAAGTATTATCCTCTTTTTGATAGCAAAACTTTTAAAGTAAATTACAGAAATTTACCATTTATTTATTGATTAATAACTATAATGATAAATAAAATCTTTTGTCAGTTAGCTACTGAAGAAATATGAACATTTGAATTAACAATCTATCAACCACTACACTTACAATAAAAAAATGAATTAGTAAAACTAAAATGCATTAATCCAGATACTTGCTTATACAGAAATAGTTCAGATAAGTTATTCAATAACCTTTTATACTGATATAACTAATAATTGGCCATTTGACAATGAGATTACTCTTACCTGATTGACTATACCTATTTATATTTGAGAACGATATTTACAATCATTCTATTCACAAATGTGATAAATAAGAGAAAATCTCTGAGGTGATATAAATATTAATGATATCTCAGTAACAATATATAAAAGTAAATAACACAAAACAGAATAATGATAACAAATAGGATGATAAATATCTTGTATTTTGTAATAAGCAAACAATCAAAATCAGTCAATAATTTACATAATCGTATTCAAGTAATCCTATGAATAGTTCAATTTTATCAGAAAACTGTAATAATTTCTTAAATCCTCGATGTATTGGTTAAATTAAATAGTATAGCTCATTTGCTAGGCATATTTTATGTATTCAATTTTAATCGATACTGCTCTTGTGAAACTACTCATCAACAGAAATTGAAAATAATGAACTGGGTATAAACCTGAAACTTGAAGAATGGAAGCTGATAACTTTAACCTCTACGGTAGTAATGTTAGTTACTCTCTAGAAAGTACATTTTATGTATAAAAATAAAATGATTACATGTTGAAATTAACTGATAGAAATGAGAAAAATAAGGAATTTAAATTTCCTGCTATTTAATTTATATAATACACTTGAAAGTTGTTCAGAAATAACGGGATTTACTTAAAACTCTTACTGTCAATCCTTTTTAAGCTGAATTGGATACAAATAGAATTATTAATTAATAGTATATATAAACTAAATTAAATCAATTTTTATAGATTTACGTTAATTGTAATCTCCATTTTGATAACCTAATCCATCTGTAATTCAATTTTGGTTGACAAAGCAATATAAGAATATTTTGTCATTCTTTTACAAACTTAACAGTTATTTAAAGTATCAAACGTTAATGAGTCAATGAGACAATAGTACACAAATGCTTCATTATGCGTACTAAACATCTGATAGATTACATCCCTGTATGGTTTTGGAATACTGGAAGATTTTTTATTGAAGACTTTCAGGTTCTGATCAATAAGATTTTAACTACTGAAATGGTTAATACACGAGTTTGTCTCTTTAGAAGTTAATTTTCTTTGACGCCAGTGACACCACTATAATTAAAATATGATCTTCAGATCATAGGATAGCTGATCTCGTCTGGTTCTTAGTGCTTAATAAGAGACCCGAATTTCACTAAACCCTCCAATGCCTAAGTGTTTCGTGAATTCATAATACTTTATGGTAATAAATAATACCTATGAAGGTCATTGTGTATTCATTTCAAATTGATCATGCCATTATCTTAAAACTGCCACTCCGAACTTATTGTACCAAACATCTACGTACAATTATTGTTGCAATCATTTCATAAACTGTATTTCTTTAAATACATTTACATTGACTATTTTTGGTAAAGTATCTGTAAGCTTCTGAGAAAACATAGTCACACTTATCAGCATGGGGTTGTAGAGATTATTATCTTTTTGATTGAGATCATGAACCGATTGATGTTAGGCTACTATTGAAAACCTGAAAGCATTGGACGGCCGTTTCGTCCTATTGCAGGACTCATCAGCGGTCCGCATCCACGATCCCGCTCACATGATTCGAACCCAGGGCCTTCGGTCTTGATCACATTTAACCATATTTTGTTTAACCTCAATTCTTTTGTTTATATAAAGCTATTTCGATTTTATTTCGGAAAACAAATTGTTTGTAATTACCACCATTAAAAACCGAAATTCGATAGGAATGTCTATTTTTCAGAAATACCACAAAAGAAGTACATTCAATTAGGTGGATTCACTTACTAGGTTCTTGCTGCAAACCCATATTTGTTAAATTTCAGCTACAGATTTTCAGCACAAATGATTAGTTTTCTGTGAGATCACTTGGAAGGTTTTCCTCACAAAATTCTTAATATCAGTGGGATAGTTTTGCAATGTGAAATAAAAAATAAAATGTTATCATTTTATTCTCATGTAATTTGATCTATTTATTAAATATAAATAGTAAGAAACTCAATAACTTATTTTTTGATCATACTATCTGTATAATTGGTTGATTCAATATCACTACTGGCCTATAGTAAGTGGAATAAGTGAAAGTGAATAAAAGACGGTTATTTTCTAGACCAATCATAATAACGGTTATTTAACATGACTAATGATTACATAAGTAGGGACTTTAGAGAATAGGCTCTTCTCCCGTTTCTTGGGTTAACATTTGCTGTATATTTTATTCTAGAAGATGACTTTAGAAAACTTTACAATTATTAATACATTTTCAGTGTACAAAGTGAATGAAAACTAACTTCTTTGATGATAACAGTATCCCGTTAAGAAATGTATGGTACTAAGCTTCTAAAAGGTGAGGTATGGTACAAGTTGTAAATCGCTGAAAAAGATACGTTATTATTGTAAAACTTTTGTCATTTCCATCGCTGCTACTCTTAAGAGACTCGATTATTTTTATCAGCACATAAGTTCTATGGACGGGTAAATTTTCAGCAATGTACATCTGCTGTCTTACTCAGTATTAAACCTATAACCTTCATCTTTTGCAGAGAACCCAATGTCATTCAGTCACTATGTAAATTGAATGGTATAACTTCTACCAACTAATGTTTTAAGGTGACGATTATTCAGTGGCATCACTGAATCTTCATTTCTGCTCCACCTTGTTCAGTAACATGGAGGGCTTAAATTCTTGGAAAATCTTATATCTTTCACTGTTACGTCTGCAGAATACTTAACTAACCTGGTACTAAAACCCCTAATCCTACGGTACATAGTGAAAGAATAAACACTGATAATATTGGATTTCCTTGACCCCGAAAATAAGTTGGGTTAACACATGAATGCACTTATTTATACATCGATTTTACTCAAACCTGTTGATTAGTTGACAAACACCACACATAAGGGCAACGCACAGAATTACTACGAAAACCCGAATTGCAAATTTCACCTTGAATTAATGCAAGGAATATTATCATGAATAAACATCATACTGAAGTAAATCAAAGTTATACTGAACGAAAGTATTGAACTGTTCATAAGTATTGTTTATAAATGATATATGCTAAAGACACAATAAATGTTAATTTATTAGGCTAGTCACTAGGATGTAAAAACCTGGGAAACCAGTTCAAATGAATGTGATACACTTCAGTCTACTGTCTTTTTCATTCTGATCATAATTTATTAAGTTTAGCTTATGTTCATAACAGGTAAATACGAGTTACTAATTCATTTCTTGATTGACTATTATTTTGACGGAGTTTTGTTCTCTGAGCTGGATGGTTTGATCGTGGAGCTTTCATCGTTCTTCTAAACGACATCATCATGAATAAACCTAATTGAAATTTTGTCGCTGCAGGTAAAAGATTTAATTTTACAATCTGTCATAGTCAGATGGATTTATGATACTCAGAAGCGTATCAGAATTACATGTAACTCATCAATCAAATCCTTAACATAATTTATCCACATGGATTAACTACATATAACAATACATTTTTTAAGCGGGAAGTTTTGAAGCATCAACTTAATCTTACCTAATCCTTATTTTTCTTATCTTGGTCATTATCTTTTTACTGTTAACTTCACTCAGTTATTTTTATTATTTGACATTATTACAATTAACATAACAATTCAGTGTTAGACTGAGATTTCATTTCATTGTTTTTAGTCTATATTTTATGATTGCGGTGTGTAGACATCTATTAACAGTTTTACATATTGCTTCCAAGAATAGACCATTCATAGACCGGATATCAACTTATTCAAAGGTAAATGTTATAAATTCTATTCATCTTTATTAATTGTCTAATTTAATTTGTTCGTAAAATTTAATTCAAATACTAAGATAGAATGACGTACTTCTTCACATCTCCATGAAATATTTCATTTTGTAAACCATCTCAAAGGATCAATAAATACAATGATATTATATGATAAACGTTAGTAACTATTTGAACTGTCTTACTATTTCTCTCTCTCTTTCTTCCTTTCTTTTTCAGTCTTATATTATCTCAATGAGCTCTTACTAAACTAAAAAGCTATAAAAGTCAAACGGCATCATATTTATCTGTGGTCAATATATCATTTTTAAATTACTGTTCATACGTGTAATGTGCTCTCATTTTCTTTTGTTCTCTTCATATTTAGTATTTTTCTAAAGAAAACTATTTGTCATACAGTGAGTAAACTGAAACAAGTAATTTAAAGTATACAATAAATATAAATCAAAACTTATTAGAAAAGTTACTCTCTCTCTCCCTCTCTTGTTGTTATTATACTTTGAATAATTATACGACTGAATTATTAAAATGCAAGTCATTGTGTAATTATTGTCAATTGTTTTTCAATTTTTTTTTTCTGTGAAGATCGTAAACTATTAATTAATATATTACAAGTTGTTTTCATCTAATGTTTGACTAACATATTTACTAACTGACTGGCTGACCGACTAGTTGATTTAATAAAGAAAACATTGTTTTCTTTAAACATGTCTATTTTGTAATCCATATAAGGAATACTGAACAGTATAATGTATTTATGAAACAAAAACAATAATCTGTTAAAACTTGATCAGTGAACTAGGCTGAAATTAAAACATGTGTAAACATGCCTGTTTAAAGTTCAAGTTAAATAAACCTGGATTAAAATGAAAATCTATAAACATTGTCATAAAATAATTTCTCAATGCACTTTGTATGAACGTCAAATAAAAAAACATGTTACTGGTGGCAACTAGAGATTTAGTTTAAATTAGACGTTGTTATGCATGTAATGAAGAAGGTTGATTAGTCAATACCTGTTGATAATCTATTTTGGTTCATAATCAATCAAATATGTAATTTTTTAGTGCATTGTCTATTATTTTATTATTATTTTTACTGTAATTGTACGTGCTTGTTACATAACTTTGTTATGAAGACGATTTTTGAAATTTAGTTTAATTATTCAGAAAAACTGCTTCTTTACAAATAATGTATGATATTTTATTTAGAGATATATCAGTTCCTCTTTGAAGATAGTTCAATAAATTATATTGTCTATTTAGTCAAGATATATGTACATATTACATAACATCAATGAGGATCCAGATTCATGTGAGTCAGTGATTATGTTTTAAATAATTATGTTAAGTAATAATATATTCCTCTTTAATATTCGTACATGTTTTCTTCCGATAAGTCAGTGTTTTAAAAATTTTAGTTTCTTATCAAGACCACTTATTTGTCCATGTTGTAAATGTGAAGATAAGAATTGACAAAGTCAGGGCAGTCAAGAACATATTGAACTCAAAACAACTGTCAACCAACACAAAAGTCACAATCTTCAATATGAACGTCAAGACAGTTCTACTGTACGGAGCTGAAACTTGGAGAACTACCACAGTCATCATCGATGAAGTACAAGTATTCATAAACAATTGTCTACGTAAGACACTCAATGTCAGTTGACCAGATGTCATCAGCAACAGCCTACTGCGGAAAGGAACAAACCAGCTTTCAACTGAAGAGGAAATTAGGAAAAGACGTTTGAGGTGGACAGGACACACATTGCAGAAATCATCGAACTGCATCACCAAGTAAGCGCTAACATGTGATGTTGGATGGAAAAGAGAAATCAGAAGGTCAAGGAACACATTGAGTCGGGAATTAGAGATACATATCAAGAAAGTGAATAACACTTACCTAGAACTGGGAAGGATTTTCCAGGACAGTGGTTGTTCGAGGAGTCGTGGTTGATGGTCTGTGCTTCCACGGAGGATAACAGGCGTAATTAAGCGGGAAAGAAAAGGTTAAATAACAAAAAACCTGTTTAGATTAGCAAAAAATTTATTTTATCTTTTTGAAAAAATATCATATTAATGATGAAGTGACGTTTTGGACCATTATAAAATTTATCGATATTTTTTTCTGGATGTTTTGCGTTCTTTGAACTGAATGGTTTGATTGGGAATTTCTATCTTTTAGACAATAATTGTTGACCTGTTTAAAATAAATCAAGGCTTTTAGTCAATTCCGGAGTTTTAACAGCTCACTTCTTTTTCAAGTGAGTTAAAACTCAGAACCTAATGGTTCCTTGAAAAACGCTAATAATTCTCATCTACTACTAGTAAACAATTTCAAGAGATAATTTTTCAAGTCCTGGTAAGAAGACATGACCAGTAGAGTTTAGCTTTGTTACTCAACTAGGACAATAATTGGACGAAACAAATGTCTAATGCTGCCTAGTTTTCATTATTTGTCTAACTTAGGTCTGTTCGTAATCTGGATAATACTGAAAGATATCCAGAAATTCCCTTATATATATATATATATATATATATATATATATATATATATATATATATGTGATTTACAATAATGAAATAATACTCATCGATTAGATACGTTACATAATAATTTTATAATGTTGAGTAATTGGAAGGAAGAGCATTAATAATAATCAAAGTAATTATTCGAAAACCAAACAGTTGGTACGTTGCATAATATATAAAAAAGACAATAGTGGACTGTGGCGCACTTTGGTGGATTGATTGAAGTCAGACATTAACACTGTTGGATGCCGGCTCAGTGGTCTAAAGGTTAAGCGTCCTTGGTTCGAATCTCGCTGGGCGAGGTCATGGATGCGCAATGCCGAGGAGGCCCATACTAGGGTGAAACGGCCGTCCAGTGCTTCCAGGTTTTCCATGGTAGTCTAGCTCCAAGTGACCCACGAATCATTAAATTACTGCAATCTCCGAAAAACCCGTCTCTGATTATGTAAAGAGAGAAGGAACTAACAAAATATTTTGATGAATGGTCAGTAGTATAA